ACAAAAACTAAAGACTTCTTGAGCTCAATTTGCTTTTCACGTGCATTGTTGTAAAGAGAAATTCCTAAAACACATAACTGAGGATACATTTAGTAATTTCTCACTAAGAAGAAAGGGTTAAATGTTCCTCATAAAAATATTATTAATATCTCCTGTGCTAATAGCTATTTTATAAATAGTGAGAACAATTTGTTTAGGACACCTATATTCCTTTGGAGTCCTATAGTCAACATTTTAAATTGCATAATTAATTTTACATCTTTGATTTTTTTTTGCAAACCTTGCAATCCTTTTGAAAGCTTTGGTCTTACAAGAAAACTGTGGCCAGATTGTTAAAATATTCAGCTACCGTAGCAATGTTTCAGCCATCTGGAAGGGTTTCTAATAGTCAGCAACTTGAAGTAGGAGCAGCTAACAATTAGACATGTCTGGTTTGTGGGGATCTGTGTGCACCAGGGAGGGGGTGGGAGTTATAGAAAAATATCCCTGATGCACGATGCAGCCAAATTACATGGAAGCATCAAATGATGACTAAAAATATAGATAACTCTTTTAAACTTTTCCTCTCTGAATTTTTTGAGAATAATTTAATGTCAGTGGAATATATCTCTGTTGGCAGATATTTATGTTAATGCATAATATTGGGATTTCTCCTATATAGGTTTTGCTTTTCTCAACCAAACAAAATGAAATTTTCATCTTTGGTTTTCCATTTTTCCTACTTTAACTAATAATACACATTGCAGAGAGGACTTAGAAACACAGTGTTATTCCAAACAAACAGAGGCATGACTAAATCAATTATCTTAACATTTATCTGAGAGTGGAATTTGTGTGAGTCTTTTTTTTTTCTATTAATTAAAACAACAGGCCATTACTTAGGTATTCCTTGTATAAATGAAAGCTTTAAGAGGTGAGCTTTACTGGAATATTAATGGATGCCCTAGAGCACTAGCTCACTAAATGGTAGCCTGAAAGAGACAATTCTTTTCAATAGTTAAGCCTACACAGCTCTAAATAAGTACAAATGCAGTGATCCTTCTGTTAATTTGATCAATACAGTCAACTAAGCCATAGATAGGAGGCCTCGATGTGATCAGATCCAGAGAAAATAGTCCGCATCAATCAAATTTATAGGAGGACTGGATAGTCTTCACTTCTGCCAAGCGGACACAGCCCTAATATCTGTGTTTTGTACCTGAACCTTTTTAAAAATGATGTCATCATTGCCAACTTGTTTCTGTAACTACAACAAATGATAGCAGAACCTCAGTTGATCAAAACACTTGGACTCTGAGAGAGCAGATGGCTGAATATAATGTGTTTTTTTTCACTTTTTGATAGATAATATTCATAGCATACAATCTATTCTTCTTTCTTCATAATTAATATATTGAATATCACCTAAACCCAAGATATGAAAAAAAAATGTTGCATTTAAGAAAGAACTAAGACAATAATTTGACTCCCTTATTCCTCTAACGAAGAAACTGAGGTACAGAAAGGTGAAATAAAGTGACTAACGACACAGTAAGTTAATGACAGGATTAGGAAGCAAAGTCCAAGATTTCTTCCAGGCCCATTATAATACTTTTCTTTCATAATCTTTACTTCTTCTTTTATGATTCAATATTGTGCAGTGCCAATACGTGTATTACAATAAAAATCATTTCTCACAATATGATGATATAGGAAACTAGGTTCAATGACTATTTGAACAAAGCATGGAAGTCATCTGTCTTTAACCCCTAACATGAGATCTTTTCTTGTCATTTGTCCATTCTATAGGATTTTGGGCAGTAAATGACAAACCTGATTAACTGAGGTGTGATACAGTAGCCCCCCACCCCCCCCTTATCTGTGGAAGATATGTCCCAAGCCCCCTGGTAGATGCCTGAAATTGAGGATAGTATGAAAACCTATACATACTATGTTTTCTCGATCCAATAATCCAGATGGCTACTAAGCGACTGATAGGTGGGTGGCATAGATAGTGTAGATATACTGGACAAAAGGATGATTCATGTCCCAGGCAGGACAGAGAAGGACGGCACAAGATTTCATTATACCACTCAGGATGACATGCAATTTAAAATTTGTGAATTTTTTATTTCTGGAAATTTCCATTCAATATTTTCAGACCGCAGTTGACTATGGGTAATTGAAACCACGGAAAGCAAAACTATAGACAAAAGGGAACTACTATATAATTCAATGTCCACACTACAATTAAAAGTTGGAGATGCTTACCTGTTTTAATATATATGCTTTAGAGGCAAAGACCCACTATGTGTATGAATTCGCTTTTTTTTAAAGTAGAAAAATAAATCAACCTGGGAACGTACCTTCTACTATAACATGAAAATCATGAGTGGCTGTTCCCAAGAAATTGTTGGCTGTGCAGCGATAATTTCCTTTGTCCCGGTAGGAGACATTCTCTATCTTCAAAGTTTTGCCATAGTTTTCTTTTGTTTCTCTTCCCTTTGGTAAGTCACTACCCATTTTCTTCCAATCAACTTGTGGAGTTGGTCTGCAAAAAATAGTAATGAATAAACAAACATTTTTAAAAAGTGGAAAATAAAATGTAAGGAAACCCTCAGGACACATCTTTTATATGTGCTCAGGTTACACTGAGTTACATTAGCCTTCCCAGTGGACAGACCTGCACATCACCATCAACTGTGAACATCAAGGCTGGAGCAACTGCAAGCCCCTTTAATAGTCTACTTCCTTGGAAATTTTCTTTCCCCTCCATTAAGGGAGCTAACTACATGCAAATGCTGACTAGGTGTGGCTGGATGAAGGATAAATAATTGGAACCCATAGAAATAATATTACAAGATTTTTTTTTCAAGTGTGAAAATCTCCCTGTGAATGGTTTGAAGAGGCCAGAGCTAATAGCCCTCTTCCTTATGTGAGTTTAAAAAATACCATAAAGTAGGACCCAACAGTCAGGAAAGGGAAGCTGTGATTTCCCCTTTAATCCTAATGAAGCTGATACTGGAGAATGTGGCTCAGGGGAGAGCCAAATGTGTTGGGTAGACCGAGGAACAGCCCACTCTGGAGCAAGTTAGAGTCTGCAGCAAAAATGTTGCTGCCTCAGTTGCCTTCTCACTCCTGTGGGAGATAAAGGAAAAGAAAATGAATCAAATCACGCTTGCTTAGGGCTTGGGAAAGATTCAATCATCCAGTCAAAACAACAAACAAACGAAAAACCAAGGTGATAACTTGTCACCAATGTGATAAAAACTTTCTCCACCTTAATAGGGAGGAAAATGGGAGTGGGAAATCAAGCCAACTGGCTTAAGAAAAATCCCTTCTCATGAAAACCAGACAGGTGGAGAAGTGTTATCTTCTGCGACTCATTTGATTTAAAAATGATGTGGAAAGCATTAATGGCTGATTTTAATTGGTGGATGATTATTTTGTTTCTCCTCTCCAGTTGGGCTATATGAGATAGTGGAAGAAACTTAATTTTGCTAATTTTATTGGTGCTGCTTTTTCTTCCTGTCCATTTTTTTTATTACTAATAGCTGTAAATTATTGTGTACATTCTCAAGGTGGTCATTATTATCATCATTTTACCCGTAAGGAATACGAAGCTCCAAAAAACTTTATTTGTGCTTTTCAATCAATGTCCTTCCTAACTGTATATTCTTAGAATATATGTTTGTTGCCAAACCAACTATTAGTTAATAGCTAATAATTGAACAATTACCTCCAATTGTTTGTGTCAATGTTCTCAGTTGTTTGTATTGACAGGTAATGGTAAAACAGCTCAGTTATCATGCAAGAAAACATTGGAGGTAAAAATGAAGACCCTTTAATACATATACATCTACCCTTTTCCCCCTCCTTTCAAAGCTCAAGTTCTTACCTGCCTTATAGATCTGGGATAATTGTGTTGTATTTTACCAGGCTTAGAGCACATGTCACGCTTCTGTAGAAAACAGCAATGATGCTCAGACAGGCAGCTGTAAGAATATATGAGTTGCTGGCTTCCTGAGCACATCACCTAATAGGACGCATAACCCAAGTCTCCTAACTGCTTGCTTTTCTCTCCATCTGTCAAGTGGCAATTTGCCATGTTACAGGCTGCTCTGGACCTCAGTTCCTCCCAAACAGAAGTTTTTCGTGAGTCCATGCTTTAATAGCGCAAGCATCTCACTTTCTGCAAGATCTTTTTTTCCCGTGGTCTTTGAAAACTAGTCTAATCCTCTAACACCTTTTACACAAAATAATAAAATAAAATAATTATAAGTATCAGGTGACCACGAGTCATAATTTATCTAGGGACAGGTCTATACCACTGCAAGAATTTCCAACTATATTCTTGCCATTTTTTTTCTTTCAATTTTTTTT